CCCCCCCAAGCCCCCACTTGACACCGGGCCTGCAGAGACACTCTCCCACCATAGATCTGAGGAACAAACAAATTGTGAGAAAGCCTTCTACATGACAATAACCAAAAAGTTGCAGAGTTAGTTTATACCTATAAGAAGCTTATCACTTCCACTCCTGGTGCTACAGGTTGTGTCACAGCAGCCACACACCTGGTCAGATTCATCCGAAGAAACCCACCTGCCAAACATATGTTAATTACTTGCACAACCTCATTTACCTTTACATCTCAAGTTTCAGTTAACATACCCATTAGCAGAGAACGAACGAACAAGCTTTCTGCTCAGGACTTGTTGGGTTGGATGCTGCAGTAGCCTTAACAATGCATGTAATGTAGACCTGCAAACACAGTTGTTAACACACTATGGCGGCATATCATACAAAGTATAGCACAACTATGTTACATACATTCCAATCCACACAGTCTACTTGCTGGAACCTGAAAGCCTCCAGCTGAAACTGCAGCTTATCACCTTGAGACTGGGTCATGAAGCGAGACTTGGAGCCTGTGATTTTGGCGTCAACCATACACCTAAAGTGTAGTCAGAATCGGAATCTAGTCAGACCTCGTCCTCATGGAAATGTGGCAGTTCCACAAAGGACTCCTTACCCTTTATTCTCAATAAAGGATATCTGGGGGCAGCACTGACATCAGGGACTGCCGTAGCCACATAGTTGTCCACAAACACACGGAAAGGAACATGATTGTATGACCTTACGGAGGCTTCAAAGTTGATGTCACTCAAGAAATACTGATTAGAAGGCCTCTCAAATCTCCAGTCATCTGTTGAGAAATTATATTAGTATAGGTTCACACAAAGATGGCACCAGTGAAAGTTGCATTCTACCAACCAGTCATTAGGACTGACAATAACAATCCTGAATTTAGTCCTTACCTTGGATAGTGATACTCAATACTAACCACTGCCCCTGACAATAAGACCACCATATGAAGCCTCTTGTGGAGTGTAGATGATGGAGAATGTATAGACAAGCTCATTTTCAGTCACCTAAAGGGGTTAGAAGTGTAAGTGTTGCTCAGAGAAACCTACACACACCCAGAAAAAAAACAACAGCAACATAACATCACTGTTGGTGCAGCAGTTCTTTTGACTGAACACCAAAAAGATTTTGAGAAGGCTTTCCAAAGTCACTCCTGGCTTGTGTCTTGATAGGAAACCTTTTTGGTGCTAGTACAGGACTGTTAGGATCATATTTTGGTGGACTCCGAGACATCCTGGTTTCAGGCTGCAGTGAACCTGGTGCTGGCTGTTGAAGCTTAAGCATTACAGTGTTTTGCATTGATCTAGCTTGCCATTGTGCTTCAGATAAACCAACAACAAACACCAATAACTTCCCAAACACTGCTTGCCTCAACCCCATAGCCTAGGGTGACCATACGTGCCATTTTTCCAGGATGCATCCTTGCCAGGATTTGTTTTGGCTTTGTTTTCCTGTTTTCATGCT